CGAGCGTGATGAGAGAAACATGCAAAACGGGACGGAAAACATGAAATTTTGCAATATTCTTGCGCAACCCTTGCACAAAACGACGATCATTTTTCTAATTTCATAGATAGATAGAACAGAAGACCAGGAAATGTCGATTCCTCCATCTAAAGGCCCACAAAGAATCGACTTCTAAAGCACGACAACTTCATCTGCACTTTGACTCCGACTCCCTGCACCTTAAAACTGTTAACTTTCGCATAAGACAATTGGCCGAAACCCCAACATTTTAGCCTGAACCCGAGTGAACTTTGCCACCTTATTTGCGCTGGATCTTTGCAAAATTTATGCTCAGAAACAAAATCAAGGCGCTCGTTCCACGTCTAAGTCCGGTATTCAAAAGTGAAGCTGGACATAATTGGCCGCTGTCCAATATCGAGCGGACAAGGACAAGACGTAAGCAAAACCTCACAAATCCCGTAACCCCCGAATCATCATCAGGAAATCCTTCAGTCCCAGCATACTGTGATCGATTAGGCAATAACAAACGACAATCGTAATGCGGCGTTTGTCGCTGGCAAGTGACCAGGGGCCAAAAGCTGAATGATGGATCGTTTTTAGTTTCCCCAGGCGGTTCCAAGGGATGTTGAAATCGCATTTCCTTCGGCCACTCCGGATCGCAATCGAGCACAATTTTCAAAATGCGCCAAACCAAAGCAGACAATTTTAATTTTTGCCTTCCTGCGAGTGGACGAAAGGCCCGGGCGGCACTTTGGACCGCAATCAAAGCACAAAAGACATGAAATCGCTTTATTATGGGATCGAATTTCAGGCCCTGGCCGAGCCATTCAGTCCAACATCCGCAAAGTACTATTAAATGGCCGGTTTTTGCTCGTTTGCGACGGTTTTTTGCCTCGTTTTTCTGCGGGATCCTGTTCGCTCTCAAACAATGACGTTGTACGGGCCCGATTTCCGTATAACGCCAACAACGTCACCAAAAAGACCATTAATTAATTCCAATCAGCCGCATTTTGAGCGTTGACACTTGACACTGGAAGGTGTCAAAATACTTTCAAAGAACACCGATTAAAAGCCGAGAGAGTTTGGAGGCTGCGCCTCAATTGCTAACTCAAATATTTGCCCGCAACTTGCGGAAAACTTCCTTTTCCAACTTTAACGCGGTTGGCGTTGTAAAAACCACTGGCGCCCTCTAGGTGCGAAGCACCCAATTTAAAGCCCCGGCGCAAAACGCGCCAACTTATCGACGGCCGCCATCTACTGGAGCACAGCCCATTCAGCGAGCGCAGCGCCCGACACTTTTTCCACCCAACCTACCAGGGATGGTTGCAAAGTGCTGCGCCGCCCGACTGCTCCAAATTTTCCTCTCCACCAAGGGCTTAACGATAACTCTGGCTCAATGCGAAAAAAATCAAACACAACCTCAGCCCAACGCGTTTCGAACCGAATAACCGTCAGCTTATCAGCGCATTTCGATCTAAACCAACCGGAGGATATCCGGCAATAAAACAGGGCCTAATTCGATTTGGGCGCTAATGAGCGCCCCCCAAAGTGGCCCTTTTGTGCCCTGAAGGGGGCGCTTTGTCTGGAGATTTTTGACTTCGTTGCCGATCTCCAATTGGCTCCGGCAAACTTTTAATTGGGCCAATTCGCGGTTGCTGTACGTATTTTGATCATTATTCCCGCTTCGAGAGCCGAGAGGTAAAAACCGTGCAATCGTTCGGGATTTTACAGTCTGGTGGATGATCGACATTGATACAGGGTGTCCCAGAAGAAGCGAATAGACACCCTATTCATTGTATCAAAAATTCAAAAATTCCTACATGAATCAATCCTATATGAACGATTAAATAACTTTATACAGTCTGGCTATTCAGAGGCAGATCCAGCTTTAAATTGAGGGGGGGGGGG